CGATCTCCCCAAAACCCCAAAACCCCATTCACCAGAATATAGGATAAACACACTGTAATGCTTCAATATTAAATATAAAAAAATCTCTAAACCTTATTAGCAGGTATAATATTCTATACTGCAAATATAATTAATTGAGATTGCATCAAGCTAACTTATCTTGAAATGTAAAACTTATCTAGTCAGGTATAAACTGCTCCAATCAATAATGACAATGACATTAATCAAGATTCAAGTATCGATGAAAATGGGGTTCCAAATTAGGAATGCACATAAAAAGATTAGATAACTCTATATAGTAGCAGATTTTATGCTCTCGTATTATTTTGCTTGTGTACAATGATGAACTCTTGTGGTTGGATTTGCTTCGCGCCAATTTCGACAATTCTAATCAATGTAAGTCAACTACTAATATCTATAATCATGCATAGAGTTACGATGTGAGTATTTTCATAGTAAACTATTTGAGTCAAATATATATGATTGCTTATTTGCCAGTCAATTTTCCTTCTGTTTATGCGTTAGACAAGCTAGGATTTAGGTATGGAGTACTTATTGGAATATTTTTAACTACTGTGGGGCTCTGGCTAAGATGTCTTATCAATTACAATTTTATTTGGGCTTTAATCGGTTAGACTATTCTTGCTGTAGCTCAACCATTTCTATATAATGCTCCTCCTAAAATATCTGCAAATTGGTTCGGTAAAAAGGAAAGACTATACTCAACTTCAGTTGCTGCAAATGCAAACACATTAGGCGTAGCAATCGGTTATTTTATTCCAGCTTTATTTGTTAAAGACGAAGATGAATTCAATGATGAAGATGCTAAAAATCATACGTGGTAGTTAATGATTTGTCTAGCTGCTATTTCTACAATAATTTTGGTGCCTGTAGCATTTACTCTAAAAGATAAACCTCCAACCCCACCATCTTTATCATAATAAGACACTGATGAATAGAAAGTCAAGCAATCATTAAAAAAGGATTTGATTTTACTTTTGAAAAATAAGGGTTATATGTTAACATGCTTCGCGAATGGTGGAGTTATTGGTTATACTTATGTTTTCTCTACTTTGTTATCTTAGATTATCACAATATATGGATTCACTGCTTCTTAAAGTTCATGGATTGGGACAATTCACCTTCTTGCAGGAATCGTTGGAGGAATTTTAATATCCTTTTTCTTAACACGAAAACCAAGGTATAAGTTTTTTTCTATATTAATCACTGTTATGACCTTTGGAAGTAAGTTTTTTCATTAATATAGAAATAAATTGTTTATTATTAGCCTGCTTAGCAGCATACTTTGCAACTGTGAATTTTAGTTATGAATATTTGATGGTAGCATCCGCTATAAATGGATTTTTTAGTATGGGAGTATTCTCTGTTGCTTATGAATTAGGAGTAGAGATGTCATTTCCAATAGGAGAAGCTACATCTGGAGGACTTACTAATTCAGTAGCAAATGTTATAGGTTTTGTCTTAGTGATAGCAATGACTCCAATTTTAGAAAGAGGTTAAAGTTAGGACGTCTTAACTACAATTCTTATTTTATTGGGAATTTTGCTAATATCTTCACTGTTATTTGCTTTTACAAAATTTGACCTAAGAAGAATAAATTATGAGCAAGAGAAAGTCAATAATTCTGGAATCAGATTACGTTTGGGGAAATTTAAAGATGTTTAAGATGTCAATGATGGGAGTAGTCTCTAATCAGATCGTCCAATAATTGATTAGGATGATTGAATAGTAAAATATTAGATTTTAAGACACTTTCATTGCTTTTGACGGATTAATTCTAAGCATTGAAACTAAGATAAAAATTCATCAAACAAAAACTCTATGAAATTTCAATAATTAAATATTAACTTGATTTATTTTCCTTTAACTTAAATGAAACTATAGGATTATGAAAGGGGTTTTGGGGTTTTGGGG